ACCATGGCGAAGAAGTGGTTATTGACAGCCTCCTTGACAAAAAAGACTATGCAACAGCTTTTATGTTAGCGAGGGAGAGTTCGAGCTTGACGCGGCATGTGGCAGAGAGATATATCAGCGGTACGATTTAACATATCTTTATTTTAGTGGGAGACGCATTTTTTACATGTATTTTTTTGGCAATTTTTTCTTCTCGTTGAACTTTCTTGTGCTTCCTTCGATCGAATATCATTCACAGAAGAACTAGCTGCGCCACAGCGGCTACTGTCACTAATAGCCACCGACAGCTTCGACCAGCTCCTAGAAACTTTTCCTCGCGATCAGTGGATGAGATTACTTGCACTTGTACTGATGCGAGCTGACCGCGCACGTCTCGTTCATACTATGCGTAAAATCGCGCAGCGATGGATCGGGGAGGGAGGCCAGTTTCTTTTCATTTGTTTATTTCATTTTATTCTTTATTTTTTAGTTTTAGTTTGGTTCTTTAGTTTTGTTTTGTTTTGGTTTTCAGTATCTTCTGAATAGTAAAATTTTTCCGAAACGTTTTAGGACCAGAAGCTGTACATGCTGCGTTGGCTGCCGTGCTTGCCAATGACATTGAGCTTTTGTTGTCCGCCAATCGGGGTTATGCACTAGGTAGGTTTATAGAAGTCTGAGTTTTTCCTTTTTTTAAAAATACATCCTTTTTTTCTAGAGGAGCGAATCAAGCAGGCGATAGTGTTGCAGAAAGTGACGGGTACTGAAGTGGATGGCGAATATGAAAAGGTTACATATTTGAGTTTTGTTGAGAAAATTTGAAACGAAAAAATTTCAATTTACTTATAGCTCTTGCACAGCTATTGTGAAAAACTCATAGATGGAGGGGTAACGGATGCTGCGTGGAGACTTCTGAGCAACTTCAAGACGAAGGACGAGGTAAATTACTTGCAAGGTTCTTTAATTTCTTTGCTATTGTTTATTTGTTTGATTATTCAGTTTTGTATTTGTTTCTTTACGTTTTTGGGCAGACCAACTTTGGCTTACGTTTTGGATAGACGACAACTTCGTTCCTAGAATCTTCCAGACAGTAATGTCCCATTTTTTCCCTAATTTAGCGTTTGCTGACTCTTCGCCACGACCTTTTTGTTATATGTGGAGGAGAAGAACGTACAATGAGCAAGGAACCAGCATTTCCTCGCTCGCAGCAAACTCAAGAGATTGCCAACGCTCTATCTCCGAGGGTGGGCCGTTGATTCTCGATATTTCTCATTTCTGTCGTGAAAGTGAAGGATTTCAGCGAACTCAACAAAGAAACTCCATATTTGCTTCATCGAGTGCACCAACCGCCCCATACTATGCGTCTTCGCAACAAAGACCATCCGCTACCATGCAACATCCAGGAATGCCACCGTTACCTACTGGACCAGCTGCACCACAATATTCCAACCCTTCTTACGGCGGCTATGCTCCCACTCCTCCTCCGCCATCTGTTCCTGGAATGCCACCAATTCCTGGATATCCACCAACATCGATGCAGTCTATGTATAATCAAGCACCAGCAG